AAGTCAGTGCTGATCAAGAATTCTGAAAGCTTGGTCTTCATCCAGACAGACAAACCCATCTACAAGCCTGGACAGACAGGTACCAGGAACTGGGCTGGTGTTGACTCTGACAGCATAAAGTCTTAAGGGGTCCATTCTCCAGAAGTGCCGTACTTCTATTAAAGGTCTCAGATTTCTTTATGGGGGGATCTAAGGTGCTCAGTAAATCTTATTTGTGTCAGCTGAGGTCTAGTTCATGGCACTTCCATCATTCCTAGTCTTCATTCTCCAGGCACAGCATCTCAGCCAGATGTAGGCACAGGATCTGATTCATTCTACTCAAGCACAGGCACAAAACTGGGATGACTGCAAGGCATAGTCTCCCTTGGTTGCACCAGAATCAACAAAGCAGGACAGGCACTCCCAAGAGATAATTCAATTCAGCCAAGACCTGATTATCTATCTAAATTTATCTGCCCCTCACTACCTGCAAGAGAAAGAGCCTGAAGTAATTGTTTCTTTTATTTAGAGATCTCAATTCAGAGCCTGTTGATCCGAGTTATAAATTACTGAAACATTGACATTTTCTGGTGATGGATAAAAATTTAACAGTGGAATTTCCATTTTTTTCTGTTGCACTCTTCAGTTCAGTTTCGGATCGTCTCTCTGGACAAAGACTTCTACCCGCTGAATGAGAAGGTAGAGCCTTAATTCCTTGTTGTTAGCCAGGAGATTTAATCCTTAATTAACACCACTGTTGTCATCATCCAGAACCACTGAAGACAGCCTTTAAAACATATGATACTCTCTCACACCATGCTTTACCTGCTCTGTATTCTATCCTAGGACACACTCCACCCATCTCTATTGGCTGAAAAAAAACATCCCCTTTTTCAGAAGCATATAGATGTTTAAAAGCAGACTTGCAGCTCAGTGTATGTGGTTAAGCATGTGGGCAGGGATGTCATTACTGAAAAAAAATGTGTGGGACAAGTTTCCATTGGTAGTGACAGGTGTGCAGCTGTTTCTGGCAGTTGGTGCAATCCCACACTTAGAGAGCAGCATGACAAGAACTTGGTTTTATGGATCTGGTGAGAGGTGCAAGCCCACCTTTTATTTTATTTGACAATCAGTTCCTCATGCAGACAAGTTATTTGAAAACTTGTGCTTCGTCACATCTTCATACCGTGGTAAGACAAAAGGTCAGGGCCCTAAAATATTATATAAAAGATTCCCTGAGCCATCAAGAACCAAGGAAAAGGAGCAAGTACAGAAAGGGAAACAAAACCAAAGGACTTCTTAGAAGTTTGTTCTTCTGCCCTTCAGTCCAAATCTGGAAATTGCTTCTGTGTGATTAATATTTCTAACACTGATTTTCTTTTGCTCTTTCCCCGCAGTTTCCCTTTGTCTACGTTCAGGTGAGTGGATAACTACAACATTATTTGCAGAAGAACGTGCAGGCACAGAGGTACCAGACCCCAGTAGTGGTGTTTTCAGGCTGAGGGGCAAGGGAAAGATCACAGGCATGTGACCTTTTCCCTTTGGTTAAAGGAAGGCTGAATAGTCAGGCATCAAAATAACTTCCAACAATGGTTCTTTGATCACAGAATGAGCTGTAAGAGAAAACTAATTGATCATTACAAGCCATGCTGTGAACAGAACTACACTTGGCTAGAGGTCATCAAAATGGCTTATTGCTCTTCCCAGTCAGAACTGAGAGTTTCTGTCTGCCAAGTGTGGTTCAAATTAGAGACCAGTGTTAAATAAGCTATCAAAACCAAAGAAACAAAATTAGGTAAGTAGACATTCCCTGTCTTCCCAAGCATGTTCTTTTTGTTTGCTGTTTTTTTAAATGGTTGAACTTCAGTGGCAGGCAAAAGTTAGAAAGGAAGATGTTTGAATGATTCAAACACTCACTTTT